CTACCACATTTATGAATCCATATCTGCCTAGAAATGGAATGAAAATAAGTCTAAATCCATGGTTCTAGACTTCAATCCTGGACCTCCCCTGCACTGCAATTTTAAATTTTCCCTGCTCAACACATCTGTTAATTATCAAGCGCTTGCAAGAGTTGTATTAAAGCAGAGAAAAACACAAGACTGTGCATTGCAGGGGGCTCCCAGGGCTGGAGCTGAGAACCACGGGTTTACATAATAGCCACATAATGCCTTTCATTATCTTGAATCACACAATGTCTAGACTGTAAATGACGATAGTGCTTACTCTAGTATCTGAAGATTGCCCTATAAAACAGTCATTTTAATTATACTGTAATTAGCAAACTTACAATGTCTGTGCCACAATTCTCCATATTAACAGAATCTTTTATCTCCTTGCCAGGCACAGCGGTAGATGAAACTTCAGAAAGTCCCCCTGACGTTTGTGGTGTTTATGAGCTTTGCTACCATCTTGTGGTGCTCTGCAAAGGCATGCATTTAAGAGGGAAATATTTGTTTTTGACTGAGTCGCTTTTTATCTTTATATTGAAAATTATAGATGATTTACAAAAAAGTATTACTTTGAACACACAGTTTTGATTTTTATTCTTCAGTGGAAGGGTGCTTCTGGGGAACATTTTCCAAACTAAAGCTAACCTGGCTCGAATATTAAGATCCTAAAAAACCTTTTGTTGTTTCGCAGCATGCATTCTTGTATGTTCTCTTAGACTCACTCACTCCAGAATGCAAGTATGAATAGAAGTGTAGATGAAATATGTGGAAGTGTTCTGAATCCTATGCATATTCTTGTATGCATCAGTTGTATGCATGCAAGAACCATGTGAAAATCCCATAATTCATCATGAGATCACTGAGATGGTGGAGGAGGTGAACATTTCTGTTGTCGATTTGTGACGTCCAACCTAGAGTGAGTTAACAACTTAACCTGGAATGGGTAGCAATTCGCTTATAGTGTTGTGCCTATATACCTACCTAAGCATTTAGTGAAAGAAAAAGAGCAATTATGGCTAAAAGTTAAAAAGGAAGCAAACTCTGGGAGCACACAAGTAGTCACATACAACATATGCAAATCTGACTTAGCTGTCAGTGGAAGCATATTGTTACCTTTGATCACCAGAAAAGAAAACATGCAGGCTACTTCAAAAAGCTGTTGACCATTCAGCAGTTTGTCCTGTCTCAGTGTTACATACATTAGCTAGCTAACTATGTAAAACTGGTTAATTAGCTTAATATTCTTAAAGAAATGTGTTAGCTTTAAAAAACTATTTTGTTAATAGAGTATTTGCTTCTTCTTGTCCTGGAAACCTATTCACACATAGCTTGTATAGTAAACTAGCACTTTAAAATGTTAAAAAAAAATAACATTAAATCAGGCATGTTAAACTGGGCCAAAGTGCTGTGGACATTAGTGTTTACCCTCATCTAACACTCACTAACTAACCCCTTGCTAATTAGCTGATGAGCTGAATCAAGTGTGTTTGATGAGGCAGTGTGCTAAAGTCTGCAGTGTGTTGTTAATTCATCGATTATTAATTAATTCACCAGAATTATCGTTTATCAAAATATTCGTTTTTTTTGCAGCCCTAGTTCTATACCAGTTCAAGAATTTTCCCAGAACAATATTTCTAAGATAAGAACAATTTAGGAACCTTTTTAGGCATGTACACTACTTCTGAAAAAGAGGAAGAGGTGAGAAATGGTCAGTAGAGTTGTGAAGTCTTTGCTTGTTTGGTATCATGAAAATAAATGTCAGGAGACTCAGTTAACTACCAATAACATCTCACAAGTCTTACTTAGACTTACAGGTGTATTCTCAATTTTTTGTTTTCTTGCAAAAATGTTCTTGCAATGTTGCAAGTACATTCTTCCCTGGAACACAAGCACATTATTCAAATTCTTGGTACTGAGGTAAAAGTGGTGCAAAAAAATAACAGTGGCCCTAAATAAACACCTTATAACCCTGACCCCTTAAAATCCCAGGCTTATTACATACTAAAGCTTATTATTCAGTAACTACAAGGACCTCAATGCAAACTGGTTGAGCTATTCTTGGTTATAGATGTGTGTAAAAAAACTTTAAGCCTGCTGGAGGGCCCTGGGCATTTAACGGGTTAAAATAAAACTTAGAAAATTAGAAAAAAATAACAATATAACTAATATAAGTAATGTTGTTTACTTGCTGTTGCCAAAGGTGGGAAGTACCTGGTTCCATTTAGTCGTTTTCATGTACTTAAAGCTACATTGTGAAAGGTTTAGGGATTTGGAGACCTCTCTGGTGGAAATGAATCTGATAATTATGAGCAAGTTGAAAGAGCATTCAAAGAGACCTCAAAAATGTCTGTCATCATATCTTCATCAGTATAATGTTGATTTTGGATTTGAGACCTATCGAGCCTCTGTGTGATGTCACTACCTAAAGACTTATTATGTGATGGCTGTGCAACCAGGATCCTTACTATGTGGAGTTCACATGTTTTCCTATGTCTGTGTGAGTTTCCTCCCACAGTCCAAAGACATGCAGTCAGGTGAATTGGAGACTCTAAATTGGTGCTATGTGTGAATGTTTGTGTGAGTATATGTCTGTCGGTCTGCCCTGTCCAGGGTGTAACCTGCCTTCCACCCAGTGAATACTGGGATAGACTCCAGCACCCCCTGCAGTCCAGAAGGATAAGCAGGTAGGTACGTAGAAGTAGAAGAGTAGTGTCTCATCTACTCAGACCAGTGCAACACACACTAACACACCACCACCACATCAGTGTTACTGCAGTGCTGAGAATGATCCAACACCCAAATAGTACCAGGTCTGTGAGGGTCCATGGGGGTTCTGAACACTGAAGAACAGGATAAAAGGGGGCTAACAAAGTATGCAGAGAAACAGATGAACTACAGTCTGTGATTGTAGAACTACAAAGTGCTCCTATATAATAAGTGGAGCTGATAAAATGGACAATGAGCTTAGAAACGAGGAGGTGGTCATAATGTTATGCCTGATTGGTGTATGTCAGTATACCAACTGAGGGTGGACTGAGGGGAGGGAGGGAGATTGGTGGGAGAGCATTTATTTGTATCCATGTTATCACTGTGCATCTTGTTTTCTGTTCAGCATTAAAAAATAATAAAAAAAGAATTGTTCACAGTGGTGGTAATAGGAACCAGACGTCTGAAGTGTTTCATGTTTAAAAGCTACATGAATAATGGCTGCACTGCCTGATGCCTGAGACATTGTTTCATACTAGTTTTGATATAAGCTTTTGGCCTAAAACATTTTTTTTTAGAATCCATTCATGACGGAGAGGTACATGCAGTGTGCTGTAAGGCAAAATAGTCCCTACTATTTTTCTATTACCAACCTTACATATAAACACTCAGAAGACACATCTAGGGTCACTGGTCATGTTGATTAGTAAATAAAATGGTTATATTTGTGCTGTGGACACCATGACCCCTGGTTCCTATCACCACCACTGTAAAGAAATCTGAGTTGGTAAGTTTCTCCACAATGAACCATTTCAAACAATGCCACTCTGAATGACTTTGCATCTGAATCATTGCATTATGCAGACATTATGAAATTTCAGTGGAATTCACCAGGGCTTGGTCCCTTTGGTACTGCAACTCAGATAGTTTTTTGGAAAGGTATTTTCACGTTAACTGCAGTCATTATTTCCAAGAAGTAACCATACTTTCACTTACCTTTACTGGGGTTTAGGCTACTCTACACACCTCTGGTTATGTGTCAGTCAGGTTGGGACTCTAATATTTGAAGTACATTATTAAGTTATCTAAGTCATGGGTGGACAATTTGTATATGTTGCGATAAGTGGGGTTTATTACTTATTATAAATGTGTCAAGACACAACAGACCTTACTGAGCAAGCCACACTCAAGTGAAGACATTTTGCAGGTCAGTTGTACTTAAGTGGTAATGACTGTTTTAAATAAAGACCTAGTCTGAGGTGGAATAAAGGATTTAAAGGATTACTGCCAAGGAACCTATCATTTTAGGATCATAATTGTGCTTACCTTTGCAGAGGTAAGAGTGAAACCACATAATTTACCACATCCTCTCATCAGCATGGAGTACAAATGCAGAACAGAAACAGAGAAGGCAAACAGATCATGGCAATGCTGAACAAAATGGAGGCAAAAACACAGCTTGGTTGAATCAATGTTTATTTGGTGACATCAGATTCATTAACCATGTGATGCCAGAGTCGTTTTAGTTAAAAATAAACAGTGATATTCTGTAAATAATAAATACTGTGCAATTTCAACAACAGTTAACACTGTAATTGAGGTATGGTAGCCAAGTTCCAGTAATGAAAATGACATGTAAAGTTACAAATTTAAACTAAAACACACTAAAAATAAATAACTGTAATGTATTACAGCTACAAAAAAATATACTGTTTCGATACATTTGAAACTTAAGAAACCTTTGAGATACCTTTCATAACTACATTCAAATGTTTTAAGAAGGAAAAAAATAGCTAAAATGAAAAGAATTGTACCATGAGATCCATGATCAGGAATTAAGGGCTGGTGATTCCACCAACTCTTGTTCTTGTATGCCAGTGTATGGCATATTAATAATAAAGTATTAATAATGAACAATTCCAAAGTAATGGAAAGCAATTAGAATTGACTTGCTGAGGAGATTGTGAATAGCCCATGAGCAGTTTCAATCCGTCTCAAACAGATCAGCTACATACTGCAAGTAAGCTACAAATGCCTAATCTGTAATAACTTAAATGTAACAGATTAAAAAAAGGTTCCAAAATAAACTGTCTACAACATGTCATTCGTCAGTGCCACAAGCTGTATTTGTGTTTAATAGGTCTACCATCCATTAAAGAGGAATTCCACCAATGTTTTTCCAGATTGGTACTACTTTTAAAAATTGTTAAGATGTAAACAAAATTATTCAGAGTGTTGTTGATATTGTTGTTGTTGCTATCACCAACATTACATACAGGTTCCTAGGGTACGCTGTTCCACAATTAATGTATACAGAAATGTGGACTAGAAAACTGTTGGAATTCCGCTTTAAGTGCCTCTTATTCATTTAATTATCCTGTTAATATCTCTCCCCAGGGATTTCCAAACTGTATTTTGTCTGTTAATCATATCTTCTTAAAAAGTTACATTTGGTCATCTCTTAAAGATAACCTCATGGTCATTGTTATCGGGCGTACGGAAGCCGTTAAACGGCTCACTGGCTCCATCGTCTCCGATGTCGTGCAAGTCGTATTCATCACTGTCGCACTCGTCGCTGTCGGCCTCAGACGGACACTCTTTGGAGCGGCTCCCTGTGCTTTCCGTGCTCTCTGTGCTGTGGCTGGACTCTCGGCTCTCGTTGCTGCTGCTGCTGTTGCTGCTTCTGCTCTCACTGGTCTCGTTGCTGTCCACCACAGGGCTGCTGTCCTTACTGTTGGACTCTGTGCTGCTGCTGCTGCTGTGGGTTTGTTTCTCCTGGCTCTCTGTAGATTCACTGCTGTTGGAGGAGACGTCCTCTGTCGTGTCTTTGTCCTCCTCACTGAGCTCTTTGACGTTGATGAGATGAATCCAGCTCTGCGGGGAGGAAGACTGTGAGTTCTCTCTGTGTGATCTGTGCTAAAGTCACCATGCAACGCAGTTTACCCCGCCAGTTAACAGTTAGCATCGTGCGAACTGCTTCAATCCATGTTGAGTTGTTTAGAAATTCAAAACAAACTTGCTGATGAGGTTTCAGCCACTGTAAGACATATTGTTATCTGTAAAAATGAACAAAAGTCTACCTGAAAACTGTAGTGTCTTGAATTGACAGAAGTATAGAAAAAAGTTAGGCCTTAAGAAGGCTACTGTTATCTCAGCTAGTGTTATTTCAGCCAGCAGGGAACATTTCCACAACTTTGGCTAAGGTTACCTACAAGTTATAATACTGTTTTAGAGAAAATATTTTAATTTGATGTTCAAAGAATGTTTTAAGCATGATTATCATTTCATATAATGTTCCCATAAGGTTGAGTGTTAACTAAAACATAATGTTTAACCTGAACATTCAGAGGATGTTTGGAGGATGTTGTCAGGGCCACAGATTATTTTACATGATGATGGTTTTAGAGAACGTCCTTCCTTTAAGAGAGATGCTCTGAAAAAAAAAAACCTTCCTGCTGCAGACTTTAATAGAACATGTATATAATACATAAACGTTTTTGGTACAATAACATTTCTAGCTGGGATATCAGTTGCAATGCCGGATGCCGGATGCCGGAGAGGGTAATGAGGAGAGTTGGGAGAATTCCCGGTGGACCAGTATGACTTTGGACCGGTTACTTTAAGCTAATGTGCAAATTTACATATTTAAGCCAAAAAACACTTAGACAAACTATAAATGTTACATCTAAGTGTGTATCTGTAATGATTTAGGGGTTAAACCAGCAGCCCCCACTTCAAGTGATACAGCCCCCAGATTAGATGAAGTTTTTTATTCTCATTTCCTGTTACACCTTAAATGACAGCATGCAACAGCTGCATTATTTAAGGTGGAACAGAAATTCGAAAAATAAGCTAACAGCTCATTTTACAGCCCTGAGATGTTGGCGTATCAAATTCAGTGCAACGATGTGTGTCTGGTTCTGTAATTTGAATTTATTGAGTGTATTTGTCCTTTGAGGCACAAATAATATAATTGAGGTCTACATATAATATTTGTGTGGTTTTATGTGCCAAAAAGTGGTCATGATTTATTTGTACATGACCATTTTCAAACCTCTCTTTATCCTTTAGAATTAAACAGGCTGTTTTGTTACTGTACCTTTAAGACTGATATATGTGTGAGCTCTTTTCTGATTGGCTGTCCTGTATTGTGCCTCATCCAAAAAGCTGGCAGAGTAGAAACACTCCCTAGAACTTAAGCGTGAATGGGCGGAGCTAAACTGCTGTTGGCTGAATAGGTGGATATCTGTAAATGTGTTGGTTTTCGTGACATCACAGAAATAATTAATTTATTTTAAATAATACATACTGGGTACGTTGAAAGTAATACAAAATAGCTACATTTGCATCAATGTTCTGTGCAAATTGCAAACAAACAAACAAAAAAATCCTTTGGATGGAAACATAGCTAACGTGTCATCCTTAATTGGGCAGATGTGATAAAAAAAAATGCGTACCTTGCGCATGTTCTCCAGGCTGTCTTGGCTGTTATCTGTGGTCATTCCTGCCTCACCTGTACCAAACTGGGTCAACATGAGATCTAATGAGAGCCAGTAACTTCTAACCAGCCTTAAATCAGAGTTTCTATCTAACAGAGTAAAGACAACCTACCCGAGCTTCCAGTGAGTGACTCCGGCTAATGTCTGAAGTCTATGGAAGAGCAAAGAAATGATCATTTATTGTTGAAATTATTACTTCTCTGGCTATTACACAATGTCTATTGCTTAAACTTACCTGATCATCTGATGCAGACTCCAATGATTCTGATGTCTGTGAAGAAACACTCAAAATTAATTTTAGGCTAAAGACCTTCGATTTAATATTAATATTAATATTTGTGTGCTTTTACAAAGTCATCATATAATTGCACTTACAGTGTTCTCAGAAGTATTTTCTGGTGAGCTCTGAGTAAGAAAAGGATGAGATATGATTACGTAGTTGCATAATTGTTTATTTCTGTTTCAATATAAATATATACAAATGTCTTGCACTGTTGTTTTGAAACTGAACTAGTGTCAGATGATTCACTTACATTGTGTTCTGATGTATCGCTTTCTTCCGAGGATTCAGACACCGATGAGGTCTGTGGCAGAGCCAACAACACTTGTTAATATCAGTGAAGAAAAGGTATCTATCAAATATTACTAATAAATTGATATATTAATTAATATGTGATATATGAATTGGGATTACTCACAGAGTTGGATGCATGTTCCATCATCTCAGTGGCCACTTTGTGTAAGATCTGAGCAAAGCAAGTAGAAAAACATTTTTTTTTGTTATTTTCTTTCTTAAAATGTATAAATTTCATTAACCTCTTGAGCCCTGTAGGTCTGTAAGAGAGTTTCTCACTCTAATGACTACATAACTTGCATATTCATTTCAGAGTAGTAATCACAGTAATGATTCATAGTACGCTCTTAAAAATAAGGGTGTCAGAGGGGTTCCTTGGAGTGATGCCATAGAAGACCCACTTTTGGTTCCCTAAAGAACTTTCAGAGATGTGCAAATGTAAACATTTTTACCTTGTCATATAATATAAAGATTCTATACAAATTAAAGAATCTTTAAGAACTATACATTATGTGGAGGTTCTTTGAGCTTTAAAGTGGTTCTTTACACTGAAAAAAGTTCTGTAGGGAGCCAGAAGTGGTTCTTCTATGGCATTACCCATGGCACCTTTATGTTTAATAGGATTACCACCTAAACAAACCCTTTAAAGGTGAATTACACTGATTTTACCAACTGTCTTCATCATTAAATGCTTAAGATGTAAGCCGAATCCTTTAGAGTGGTTTGATGTGGAATGCTCTGTTCCAGAGAAACTTCAGAGTCAGAATTGTTCACAGTAGTAGTGATAGGAACCAGATATCTAAAGTTTTTAAATGCTTCTAAAAGCTCCCTCAGAGAAAGTTATTCTATGAAATAGTTGTAAATATGCTGCCTGATGCCTGAGACACATGTTTTATGGAGATTGTTCCTATCTCCATGACTGTAAAGAAATCAGAATAGGTCATTTTCTCTACAGCGCAACATTTCACCTCAAACCACTCTGAATTACTTTGTTTACATCTCAGTGACTAAATTAAAGTGATAAATTGATTAAATTCCATTTTTAATAGCCACAGGCAGGTCCAAATTATACACTTCTGTAACCAAAAACAAGCCAGTTTCTATTGAAGTCTATGTAGTGACTTAGTAATAAACCTTATAATCTAATAAGCATGGAATTGTAAGGGTTTAATAACTGGACAATGGCTACTAACCAAGACTATGGGTCTAGGGATTGTCATGTTTTAATTATTTATAATTTAAAGACTCTGACACTTACAGGATTAGCACTGGCTGTTCCCAGCAGGCAGAGAATTACAATGGCAAACTTCATTCTGCAACACAGAGTAAGCACACTGAAGTGTTTACCATATATTACAGTACGCATTCTTTAAAGCTTATAGTGAAAAGCAGTAATACACTGACTGTACTTGAATAAGGTATAGTACATTTGTCAAAAGTTGTAAAGCACTTGTCTACAGTTCAAAATGAATCGTTTCAAAGGGAATTAAACAGCTCACATTAATGATTATGTGGTAAAAAGATGCTAATCTGAGTCTCTTACCTTTGTTCTCTTGCAGTTGTAGCTAGTAAATCCAGTTAGATGGGTAGCAGTGCGGGCTGTGGTGCTGCTGGAATGAAAGTGCAGATTAAATGCTGTGGTGTGGTGGAGGAGCCACTATTTATCTCCCAGCCTCTTCATAAAGGTGAGAACATCACTTCCTTCTTGCCAGCTCAGCTTTACCACGACTGCTGTGTGGGCACACGCACACACAGACATACACAAACACACAGCATACTGTACACACTCTCTACCCGTCCTCTTCCTCTTCTGTATGTCTATTTTAAGGCGGTAAACTATAGGGTGTCTGGGCTATGCAAACTGAGCATGCCCATAGTCACATCCCACACAGGGCAGGAAGTGCATAATGAGAGCATAGCAACTTCCTGTGGGAACTGTTTTTTTTCTATACACCTCTGCATCTAATTAAGCTCATACTGTATACACAAACTACAGGCCTACATAATACACATAATGCAGCCTTGAATGATTCATCCACTGAAGTCATGGAAACCAACCACTAGAGCGTCTACACTCCGCTTCTGCAAATTTTGGCATTTTATTTTAAACATTCCTATGTTATAATTATGAAAACATGCAGAAGTGGCCTTACATAACACACAGACAGTAGGCCTATATGTCAAGCACAGAAAATAGTGAAGCATTGAGTTTACTTGATTCACATCATTTCCACATGAAAATAAGATATCACATAAACAGCTAAGAAAAAAAAATATGTTGATGTAATATTTATTTGGGTGAGGAAAAAAATACAAAGTGTCTTTGTGAGGTGTTGGGCCACCATGAGCTCCCAGCTGGAATGTTTTGGTTTGAACAGTCTGATCCTGTTGATGTTCTCAGTCATCAGAAGAACAGTTGCTCTATACATTTTGTACTAATTGAATTGAAGTTCACTGCACATCAGATAAGAAGTTGACAAAATGTAAAACAGATTATTGTTCTGTTAACTTACCATTAGAAGCCTAATGAACTCAACATTTTGAGTTTTAAAGTTACTTAAAGTTAAAACATTGACTCATTTTTACAGTGTACTGATGTCTTTTCTATAGATCTAAATGCAGATGTTAGTCACTGTTCCTGTTTAAACCTTTCCAGTTGAGCAGTCTTTATGGTTGAAGCTCTTGCCATCTGTGCCTCAATAATAAACCCTTTTTCTTTGTCTTCTCAAATTGAGAGTAGGCCTGGCATCGGGGGCTTATTTAGTGGGGTGGTGCCCCACAAATCAATCTTCATGTCCCACCAAACCCACTACATTCCACACACGTTTTTTTAATGATAGGTGGCAACAGGCAAAGTAAAACAAAACTCTGCACTCTGCTGCTGCTTGCCACATAAAAATAAAAGGATAGAAATATAATGCTGTAAATATGGCTTACCTTTTGATTTACTCTCGAATGCATGACTCCTTTGGACAGATGTACCATACATTTATTGCTTCTTATGCTCTTTCATTGGTGGGGGGTGGGGGTGGGGGGTGACCTTTATATCTCTATAAAAGCTCCAAATTTGACTTAAATAAAGGTTCAACAATTTTTACAAAGGTGTATGAATCATTATGTCAAATTAGTTCAAAGTCAGACTGACTTGGACTAAATTTTTAAGCTTTAAATGATGTACCCTGTACCCAAATCATGATTATTTTATTAAAGCAAATGATTTACCAAAACTTTACCAAATCTTTCAGTAGTGACTGCATTGGTAGTTACAATTTTAGCTAACTGAGCATAACTCGACATGACTAGCAAACAGCTTGAACCAGCTGTACACACGTAAAATCATATTTTATTTACTAAAACACAGAAACATTTACTTAATTGAGGAAAATGTGTTATGGTAGCAACAATTTTTAATGTTACACACTGATTTTCAGATTTTGGGACATATTTACTTTAAAACAATGAAATCAAACTGATATGCAAAACGTCAAACTGATATCCTAAAACGTCATGTTATGATAGTGACATGAAAATGAGGAACAGCATTTTTTGAATAAAGTTTTCTTATTTGAAAACTTTTAAATTCATGATACATGTATATCTTTCAACTCCATTCAAATTATAACGAGCATATAAAATCAAATCTAAAAATAAAAAAAACAAATAAATGTATATATGTAATATATTGTTTTCACAAGTTAAAATGTAGCCACCTTCCAGTAGAAAATATGCTATAAATGATGATTTTTTATATATATATATATGGGGCGGTACGGTGGCGCAGTGGGTAGAGCTATCGCCTCATAGCAAGAATGGCCTGGGTTCGATTCCTGGCCGGGCGACCGGGGTCATTTCTGTGTGGAGTTTGCCTGTTCTCCCTGTGTCTGCGTGGGTTTCCTCCGGGTACTCCGGTTTCCTCCCACGGTCCAAAAACATGCAGTCAGGCCAATTGGACATGCTGAATTGCCCCTAGGTGTGACTGTGTATGTCTGTCTGTCTGCCCTGTGATGGACTGGCGACCTGTCCAGGGTGTACCCTGCCTTCCGCCCAATGACAGCTGGGATAGGCTCCAGCATCCCACCGCGACCCAGAAGGATAAGCGGTTTAGATGATGTATGTATGTATGTATGTATATATATATGAATGTCTACTAATGCATTTAGTTGAAATAGGTCGTGACATAATCAATAATATCTGTGGGACCACATTTTGAAGTAATTCAGTAGAATGGTCCAATACTGAAAGCAATTTATATACTTGGAAAAATATATATATAGTTACATATATATTATACGGTTGAGTCAGTTTGCCAACAACATAACACAGCATGTTGTCTGGAAGGTATCTGTATGAGGGCCCGCACTTCTCAACTCCTCACTCTCATATTTACCTTATCAGGACAAAACAGAGATACAAATACTTGGTAGCAAATCCCAAAACTGAATATCAAAACTGAAATACGAAACCTGGGTGTAGCCTTATATTCTGATCTCTGTCCTGTCCCTCGTTTAAATATTGTTAATAAGATTTCATTCTATCCTTTAAAATACTAACATTAGGCCTTTTCTTTCCCAGAGCAATACGCTTTTTACTGTAATGCTCTTTTTACTGGGCTTGCTACGGAAATACTACATTTCAGAAATAGTTGAGAGGCCTCATTCTGTTTTTATGCTTCTATACTTCGAAACTCATTGTCTTTTACAGTTAGGCAGTCAGGTTTGGTACACTATTAAGAAACATCTGAATATACATACATATATATATATATATATTCAAAATCGCTGCATGCTTATTGAATTTCTCTTTTAATTTAAAGCAGGATTTGGAGACCTCTCTGGTGGAAACATGTAATTGCACACACTGTAAAGGAGAACATTTTGTAATGTCAATTGTGCTTCGCACCCCTTTCCCGAGTTTATGAGTCTGATGATTGCATTTGCATTGAAAAAGTATTCACAGAGATTCATCTTTGGGGGAAGATTCACTAATGTCTTGTGCTGTCACAAAGCCTATTTTGGTTCAATTTACTAAATAGGCAAATGCCCCCGATTGATGTCAATTCACCCTATGAAGTGTTATGACAGCTGTCGCTTTTTGAAATAAGCCTTTAAAAGTATTTATATAGGTAAATGTCAGTTGTCATGAGAAGCTTATGCATGTGGCCTTATGAACATGACCTACAGTGACCTAAAGTGTTACCCTTATGATCAAAGGGGTGGTCACTTTTGCCTCATTGCATGAGCATTTATAGGAGTTTCCCTCTCAAACATCAAAATACTGTGAGGAGATTACTATAAGGAAGCACCTACTCCCATTTATCAAGACTGACAGTAAATACTGACTGTGTGCTGTTTAACATGTGTGACAAGCTGGTCTTATTTTTGGCTGCAATTGTTTGTGTTAAGAGAGTTATTTGAACACATTTATTTAGTTTTGATGGAAAAAACTAGCAAAAAAAATAACAATAATTTGACAGTTTTCTTTTCCAAATAATTGTTAGATGCACATATTGAAACTCTTTGGCTCTGCAACCCCTGCTTTACTAAAGCTACTCATTACTTTGTTATTCACTTGCACTGTGGCTTCTATGCATGCTGTAGTAGAAATGATGCAGTTATCCTTTGATGCAAGTTATGCTCAAAATCATACAGTTCTTACATACATATACAGATGTGCTGAGGGAAGTTAAACTTTTTTTTTACGGTTTTATGTTTCAAAACAGAAAGTCAAAAGAATCACTTATTTTCTTGAATTTCTGATGTACTATGTTGGAATAATGATGTTGAAGTAATCACATGCTTACTAGTGCTAAAATAGCACATACTCATAAATCATTATTTTGACTTACTAAATCAAAGTCTGGAGAAAATGTCACTATTTTTGATCTAATGAGTCCATGTTTGAACCTGAAACCGGCTTTCATAGAAGTTCCTGGTAAGCTGTCCACCCCTACCAGCACAAAGCATATGTTAATACTTTAATAAACATATTGCTATAATGTTATTGCTTGAAAAACATTCTAATGATTTATAAAGGCATTGCTATATTGTCCAAATGTTTGAGCTCTCTAGGTGAAATTACATGTTTTGTTGATTTTCTAAATGAAAATAAATGAACATATCCTCTACAAGGAAAGGAAGCTTAATTACTGTTTATTTACTGATTTTAAAATGTGGCATGAGCATCTTTTCCAATAAGTTAAACAAATAACTGTAAATTCTTTACTAACATTTACAGAAAAATGGCATATTTAAGTGTATTTCCTGTAGAGAATGTGTAGAACATTTGACTGGGGGTGCTCAAACTGTTACATACGACTGTAAACCACACCTGTTTGTGTTTATGTTATTAGGTCACCAGTGCAGCGCTTTCCCCACTATTTCCAAATATTACACCAATCTACCACTAACTGAAACTACTTCTAAAACACAAGCCTGTAATAACAATGAAATCATGGCAAATATGTGTTGAATGCCAAAGTCTCCACCCTGTTTCCTGGAAGTCCTTCTTTGGTCAGCTCCTTTTTTGCCCCTGCCTTCGGAGGAAGCAGCAGTCTCACTGTACAAACTGTCTCATAATGAAACCACGTAATCAAAACAGCAGAGCTGCCAGAAAACCCCACACACAGACACCACACGTCTGTCTGTCTGAGAGGAGGCTGCTGCATGTCAGACAGCAAACTCTGGTTTACAAATAACCGCTGGGCACTCTTTTAGCTGCGCTGGTGTTTAGCTCCTGATTGCTGTTTATTTGCATCATCAACCTGAACTGTGTCTGAAGGTGTGTTGAGAAGAAGAAAATGAGCCATTTGTGTAATTGCTTTATATACAAAAGGATCCATAATTTCTCTATGACGTG